TTCACCTCTGGTTGCGCGCCGCCCTCGGCGTTCCTCCGGTTTTCCACCTCTGGTTGCGCGCCGCCCTCGGCGTTCCTCCGGTTCTCCACCTCTGGTTGCGCGCCGCCAACGGCGTTCCTCCGGCGGGAAATCATCACCCTACCTCGAACTGGCATTGAGCCGCCAGTCCTCACAGACATCCTCCACGTCGTCGACACCATTCATCTGGTCTGAACCCCGCAAAAGAAAGGGGGACCTTCTCCGTCGTAACCAACCTCAGTTCCCAGTCGTCCAGGGGCAATTTCACAGAGTCCCCTCGAACAAATGGAATCTCATTCTAAGATGGGCACACAGCGAAACTTACCGATCTTACGAACTTTGGTTATTTCGTTCGGTTCAATGAGTAATTAACGTAATCATTTTTGATATGCCACTTACGCGTTCCATTTTCAGATTAAGATTCACCGCGGTCAAATTACTCACTCTCGGGTCTCCCTACTACAATTATATAAATCAGAAGTTGCCAAGAGTGCAGTGATGACGGCAATGAATCGATTATTATAATCGAAAAATCCATCTGAGCATTCCACGAAAAGACAGCGTCTGAAGTTTCAAGTTCACTTCAACCCCCGCGACGTTGAAACAATCACCCTTTCTCTGAGTGCCTATTTGAGGGACTAATATTCATTAATAATAAGTTAGCATTAGCCACCATCATGACTAACAGCATGCATTGCTTCCCCCGCTTTATAACACGCCTAATTCGAGATGCTTCCCGCAGGCACGCCCAGACATGGGCAGGTCGCGACGAGCTGGCGCAAGGTCCAGCTCAGACGAATAGCACGAGCGTATGCTACCCCTGGGGTCTTTGACCCCAGGATATTTGACAGGCCCTTAGAGCCTCAACCACCCGCTCTTCCGCTTCACCCTCCGTCACCCAACAACCCTCCGCTAGCCCCTGCCATCCACGCCTCCCACCTCCATACAGGCCACCGGACCCTTGCCCGGTCAGGACGTGGGCTCCGCGCCCGCCGGTCACCCCCGCATCGAGGCCTCCAAGATCCAGCCTGGGCAACGCGCCTCCTGCACCACCGGCTGATGCAGCAAAGAGGCCACCGCAGGAACCAAGGCCACGGCAACCACGCATG